CAAATTTTAAAGCAAGTAAAGCGGTAATTAATAATAAATTCGACAAAGCGAATACACAGTTACTTTTTTTGTTTAATTAAATTATATAAGTTATTTGTCATAATGCAATAACATAATTATTTATAATTAGTTATTACGAAAAACATTTTGTCATTTATATATGCATATATCATACAATACATCCAATACGTGGATAAACATTAATAAGCCGTTTTGTACTACTAAATTTGCAAATATATAAAGCACATAATATAATTTGCAAGTGTGTGTATGTGTGCGTGTGTGTGCACGTAGGCGTATATGTATGGAATAGTGTAAATTAAATCATCTTTCGTGATAGATTCTAGAATGAAGCGATAGATATTCTCTTAGTACGAGTTTGCCACTGTTTAAACACAATATTTTGTGTGCATTAATTACAATTATACATTTCGTTGGATATAGAAATACATAAAATCTGCACAAAATGTTTTGCATGAAAACTGATAACATAACATAAATCCATAAAATATTCTTTTCTCTTAAATTTGATATTGCATGTAATAATTGTAAAGAAAAATTCTAAAATATTCAACATTTAGATGTTTAAATTTTACATATCTCATAAATTTTAATATTTGTTATTTTATGTACAGAAATTTTTTCATGAAACAATTGTACAGAATGCAATAATGTTATTGCATTCTGCATTTAAATGTATCACAACAAAGTTATATAAAGAAGATAAGCGCGTATCGTAATAGAATCAAAATTACTTTGTAAAAAAGTTTGTTAAAAGGAATAATTTCGAGTTAAGTACTACGTCTATAAAATTCCGTTATTTCGATAACCAGGATGAGAAAACGCAACAGATATCACAATTTTTACATGGCAGACATGGCGTAATATAAATGTTAATAAATATAATATCATATATATGGTAAGTAAAAAAATTTGTATAATAATTTAAATACTTTTGCTTCCGAAAATGTTGTAACAAATATTCTCATCTCTCGGTTAATCATAATACTTGTAGAACGTTTAATAGCTACATCTTCTTTACATAATGGATATATGTGTAGAATAAATTATACAAATACATATATACAAATTAAATTCTACGCATGTAACATATTCTAATATACAGGGTATCCTGTAGCATATGGGACCCACTTCAGGAATAGATTCTACACATGAAAACAATAAAAAGAGTTCATTCGACCTTGTTTTCGAGTTATAACGAATTGTATGTGTTGGTATAATTATTTCGAAAGATGTTAATGAATCAACTACGCTTATCTCGCTGTTTACAAATAGAGGTCAGTATAAAGCTCCCATGAAATTTGAATAATTCCTGGACAAATGAAGAGAATAAGACAATCAATGATAAAAAGTCTCTAGGCTTGTGTTTCGATGCAAGGGACTCATTTCAAACATTTGTTGTGAATGTGAGCAAATACCGTGTGTTAAATGAACTCTTTTTTATTGTTTTTATGTGTAGAATCTATTCCTGAAGTGGGTCCCACATGCTACGGGATACCCTGTATAAATCATTAAATTCTTAAGTCAGTGTGTACGCGTATATGTCAATGCCCCTTCAGGTGCATAACACCAAACTATACTACATTTAACTAGATTTAATACACAGGATGCATCCTCTAATTGTAAGAGTAACCACTGTTTTCAACTGTTTCTGATAATCTGTCATAGACATTTTTTCAACAGATTGAGAATAGCTGAAAAATTATAGCTAATCTTGGAAGCTATGTTCTGCAGAAATTTGTAATATATAAAAACTGTATGTAAAATAATTATAAATTTTGTATTATGAAAAGTATAAGTCTTTCATCGAGGTAAAATACCTAGACACTGTTTTCTTGCTATTTTAACTTTTCATCTGTGTAAATTTTCACTAAAAATGTGTATATATGAGAAATCTTAGAAAATATGGCAGTGATTAAAACATGAGAAATATTTGTGATTAGGCCACCAGATAAATTGTGTACTGTTCATAGAGATAGTAATCCAGTGTACGTTCACTGCTTACAAAGTGCAATACAAAAACAAATATTCCATTTATTCCCATTTCTATGTTTATGCACGTGTTAGCATTTTGAGAGATAATAAAAAATGTCAGTTTGGTTCTATTATTAATGCATAATTGCAGCCATATTCTAAACTAGTAACAGTATTCTCTTATTCATAATTAATAACACAGTTACTTTTGTGCTTAAGAAAATGAATAATGGGCAAACGTACAACCCATTTTGTACCATCTATTTAGAGAAGAAATAGCTTTAAAATGAAGCTAATCGAATTGCTCAGGTGACTTGTTTTGAGACGTGGCTTACTTTAGGCTGTACTTGTATGGTTATTAGCACCACTAATAGCACTAAATAAAGCAGCGCTGTTGCGCTTAAAATTACAAACTTGCTCGTCAGGCCAAATAGGTTCACCAAGTAACGATGATAAACTTTGACAAAGTTTCTGATAATTCTCACGTAATACTTCTTGATACTCGTGCTGATCAGATGTAATTAACTTACTATTTATTTGGAGAGCCGTGTAACATATTTTAACAAATTCCCTGCAAATGAACACTTATACATTAAGCGAAAATTTTAATAGGTGGAGAAGAATTTATTGAGGATGATTGGTTACCTAAAAACGTCCTTTAGCTCCTCAACTTTGTCATCTGGGTATTGTGGGGACAATGCGGGATCTAAAAATGCAGAAGCGTATGCAAGTGGCCCGGCATTCACTGTAACGCATATACTTCCTTGTAATCTCAATTGTAATTTTTTCACATCAGTTGGACCTATAAGGGCTACATCTTCCAATTCTTGAACACGATGTCGCATTTCATCAAGTGCCACTTCTATCGGGCTAAGCTCCATTATCCGTTTCTCAGACACCAAGATTCGCTTTTTAATATACGGGAAGGAATATTGTGCTGAAATATTACAAACGTCAATATTAAACATTAAACTTAACATTTCTAAAAATTATTCCTAGAGATTACGGAAATGTGGGGTAGCTGAGGTCATTCTAAGTAACTTCTTCCTTTGCGAAAATGCAATCTGCGGCTTTGTTTACGAGTTATTGACCAATGAGACACAATGACGCGAAACACAACGTGGTCAATCGATCGAGTGCCATGTGCTCCTACCACTGATTTTGACAGCTGAAGGGGGACTCTGTGCCGTGTTCAAATCAATGAACAAGTCACGGAGCATGAACTGTTGATATTTTTTTTACCACGTGGCAGTGATAATCTTAAGAAAAATGCTGTTCATCCTTATTTCAGAATGTCTGAAGAATATTTACTAATTTTTCGAACCCGAAATAATAAGTATGACAGCCGTTTTAATTTTCTGGTGTGCTTGACACCTCATGTGTACCATATGAAATTTTCATGCAAGGTAAAAATTAACAAAGGTCGCAAATGTTAATTTATTAAATTTTAATTTAAATAATTCCGCGTCCGAACACAATTCAACGAGCGATTCGCAAAGCTAATTTAATAAATAATAATCGTGTTAAAGGACGTAAGATATTTGTTTGATAGAGA